TCTCACCAGGGATTGGTTTAGAAGGGTTGTGTTTTATACTAGGGATTATATTTAACTCCCCCCACCCAACATTCCTGAAGACTTGTCACCATTCACAGCTCCTTCTCCTCCCATGGGCTCAGCCACAGGTGCTTCTTACGAGTCTCCGCTCCTTGAGCCGGCTGAGTGGCTCAGTTGGTTAAGAGCTCGCTCAAGAGTGTGAGCTCTGAGCAACAGCGGTTCGATTCCCGGCCCGAGCTGAGCTGCTGCAGAGCTACCAACAGGTGGCAGGATGGCTCAGCTAAAAAAAAAAAAAAAGAGTCTCCACTCCTCTTTCTCTGGCCTCTGTCTCCCAAACCTGGTCCCACCGTCTGCCGGGCTCAGTGGCTGACCCTTTGCTTCAGTTTCAGTCCATGCTGTCCATCTCCTCCTTGGACTTGATGCTTCAGAGTCCCCCTGGCTTTCCAGGGCCCTCTCTTCTCACGTTTTCATTACCTGAGAGGAAAGGTAGATGATGTGGGTTTTCATATTCCCATCCTGGGGCAGGCTGCCTTCTATTGGAGCATGCGTTTAGGAGTGTTCGGACCAAAGCGACTTCTCATGCTCCTTAGAATTTACTCAAGTGCTCTTTCTGATGCACAGGGCACTCCTCTACGTCTCTGCTCCTCTGCTCAAGCAAGTCTTCTAGAATTCACTGTGTAGCCTCTCTGAAGCTCCACAGTTGCGTATTATGTTACGCTGAGAACAGGGAGTCTCTTCTCTTTGTCTGGGAAGAGACTTCTGAGTCTCTGTTAGCCCTGGGTGCTTTTCCTATGCTACACTCACTGCTGGGCCTTGCTCACCTATACTACCTTCTTTGTGCTATTTTTTTGCATCTTCCCAAGACATTTTTCCCTATCACCACTTGGGCCTAAGGGCCAGTCTTAAGCCTGAGACCCTCCCAGACAACTCACCCTGACCTCCAGGATAACATTCTTACATGCTGGGCTACATCAACCTTCTGGTCTTGCCTCTCTTTCGGATCCTGTTTGTCTCTGCTGAGGCTTGGGGTTATGGCCCCCATCTCTGGGCTTACCTCCACCGTTCCAATGACCTCTTTGCTTCCAGCACTGGGGACTGGTCTGCGGATCCCGTCTCTAGTCCCCATAGTTGGAGCTGTGAAGAAAGAGCTTCTGGGCAAATGCCACTAGAAAGCCTGTCTCTCTAAGAACAACGGATCCGTTTTCTCTCTAGTTGTTCAGAAACGCACCCCTTCTCTCACAGCTGTGTGAAAAGAAGCCAAATGCCCATTCTTAATGCGTAACAACTGAGGCTCACATGCAAACTGCTGTTATCTCAGCAGGAGAGCAATTTGCAACCATTTAGAATCCTTTCACTCTTCCCTTCTCCTCAGTGTATGGCTGTACACACATCAGTCCATATTTATTAGTGCAGATGGTAAGAAACTCATCATTGAAAGGGCTTAGAGCACAGAGGGAAATGGATTTTTGGCCTCACTCTGGCCTTGTAAACAAGGAGGCATGAAAGACTTTAGGTTCCTGATTCCTGCCTCAAAAGAGCACAGTTTGCTTCTCTCCAAACACAAGAGGTTGTAAATTGGTAATTCATCTCAACCAAAGGCCACATGATGAGCAATTGTAGAAGTATTTTTTTCCTTGTGTGCAAAGGAGGAACCCAACATCTGGGTGTGGGCTCCAGCTGGTATTTCACCATTTGCAGCCCAAAGATACTGTCTTGGCCAGCCCTGGGCTCCATGCATGTCTTCCTTTCACCTGAGTCATGGCCAGGGTGATTGCGGAGGGGTGGGGGTGAGTGGGTGCGGGGGAGAAGTCAGCTCAGCATTTCCAAGTCATTTCTTCTTTTTTTTTTTTGTAGCTAAAAAATAAATCAGCTCTAATAAAAACATTTATACTATATTCTTTATTGTCAGCTAATCCTGCCCGAACTCATTAAATGGCAGTGTGTGGGTTATTTGCTGTCAGTGAAATTATCAAAGGCATTTTTCAGCTGGGGCACCAGGAAAACATATGCTTCAATGCCAACTAAAACAATAATGAGGAAATGTTATGATCAGTCTTGACCAGGTGACCCTGCCCATTTTAGATTAGTTCTTAATTTCAGCACAAGGGTCATCCTGTGAATTCTTACAATAAGTCACTGCTCACCACTCACATGAAAAAGATGTGACTTATTAGAAAACTCACTGTACTCATTGCAGTTAATGAGATGTGGAAAGCTTTGTAATTTGATTTGCTGGGCCATATGCTGTAAAAGGATACTGCTGATTTCATTCCTCCGTATTTAATTTAAGCAGTATGCAATCCCTTCTTCATATGGCTACTTATATAATAAAAATTAACTTGGGGTATAAAAAATACACCATTGTGGGGTTTATTACTTGGTGTGGTTCAGTTTCAAGTGTTTTTCATGGAAACATCTGTAAGTAATGTGTGCGGGTCTAATTTTAAATCCCGCCAAATATTTTCCATTTAACATTTGGTTTAACTGACAAGCTTGCAGAGGTGGTTTTCAGAATTGTCGGTAACAGATATGCACACTATTCCCAAGGCTATGGCCTTTTTTACTTTTTAATGGAAGATAATAGAAATGTAAAACTTGTTTTTGTTTTTTTAAACCTGTTTTTACATTTCAGTGGATACAAACAGTTCAGAAAGTAGCCACTCCTATCTCTCAAAGAGCCAGCTGTGGTGGAATTGATTACCCCCTAAAAATAGTTACCTTGGTTGTGACTTTCATTTCAACATCTGTGAGCGAGGACACCATGGCAGGAAGGTGACCGGTGGGAAAAGGACCCTTCAGGACAGGGGCCTGCTCTACTCAGATAGGAAAGGGGGAGAGGAGGACAGAAAATCTGAGAAATGGGCCCAAACCCAGGGAGGTCTGAGCCTCCCGAGAGGCCATCAGAAACCATGTTCTTTCTATTTTCCTATTGTTGTAAAAAAAAAAAATCCTAGCGTACACTTAGGGGCGCCGAGGCCCCTGTCCTATCCAGGGGTCTGGTCAGAAGCTGATCTGTGAAGCCACAAAACAGAGCCTTTCCTTTCTTCACCAGGAGGGGCTACCAGGTAAACGAGGGAGTTACATTTGAACTTCAGATAAACAATAAATATTTTTCAGTATGAGTATGTCCCATGGCATCCTGTATTTTCGCTTGCTAAATCCGGCAATCCTACCACCAGGGTCAGACGTGTTTGCTGACTCCCTTCTATTCCTGGCCACGAAGCTTTCTTTCAGGTTGTTTGACTTCGGTGGCTGACAAAATGAAACAGCTTGAACTGTGCAAGCGGGGCGGCCGCAGCCATAAATACCCATCTCCAGCCGGGTCCCTGCGCAGCTCTTTTCATGAACTTGCGCTCGGTTCTCATCCTGGCTCTGCGGAAATGCTGACTCAGCACCACGGCAAGCACGAGGCGGGGACCCCAGAAACATAATTGAACTGTTTCCATGACGGACTCTAAAATAAAACTGTGTGTGTGGGAAGAGAAACTTGAGGGGGAAGTTCAACAACAAATGGAGAGGTGTGGAGTGAAACCTCAGGGAAACTGTTGGTTTTGCTTGAAGGGAATTGAATTGTGAAACTGGCAGTTGCGAAATTTCACTCGGTTGATTCTTGTGAGAACCGAAGTTTGTTTTAATTGTCAATTAAAGCCCGTGGTGCCTGGGTCCCTGGGACCTAGGGAACCTGGGGGTGGTGCTAGAATGGGAACCTGTGTGGGTCCTATGACGGGGCTGGCCACTGGGGGTCAGGATAAGCTCGCAGTGTTCCTGCTGCTGTCAGAACTTTCTCTGGAGGAAAAGCCAGCATGCCCTAAGAAACCAAAGGCCTGCCTGAGAAGTTGAGAGATACACATCGAGGTGTCCACAGAGCAGGCCATCGCCATCCTCCCTGGAGGTTCCCTTGGACGACCTTATTTGTAAGGCAAATCTAGGCCCGTACATACATACATTGCTCGGCTGTCAGGCACTAAATTGCCTTTATGAGAGGCAGGCAGGCTTGCGGATGACAACACGCTGATAAAAAAAAAAAAAATAGAAGAAAAAAAAAAAGAAGTGTGGCCTTGTTGAAGATTTTATGTAAAAGGAAATGATTCATTTGAATTCAGAAGGAGCTTTAAAACAAGGCAGAAAGACCCAAGCCCTGGATTTTCTGCTTTATGACTTGTTTCTTAGAACTTGTTTAAGAAAAAAAAAAAAAGGAGGAAAAAAAATAGAAAGGAAAGACTAACCAAAATATCCAACCAAGGTTTAATTCTCGTTTGTTGCTGGTTTTTTCCCTTCAGATCAAGGTCGTTTTCTTGTTAACCCTAGACTTCAGCCGCAGAAAATGAGATTCCCCTCACTGAGGGATTAGCCATATAGAAGAGTTAGGGAATGTGTGGTCTTGAGAGACTTGAGATCGACGAGTTTGAAATGTTTGAAAGAAAAAAAAAATCTTCAGTGGTTTAAGAGCTTCACTAAGACACTTTAAAAAAAGAATCAAAATTGCCCTTATTGAAGAGCTTTGGAGATCCAAATACAAGTCCCTTTTCTTTTGCCAAGAAGCCACTTATCCATTCTATGTGTCTTTAATGCTTAATGGAAATGTTGGGATTCCTATTCAAGCCCGAAACAGGAATCTTACAGCCAACTGTATGATTTTTTTTTAAATTTTTTCAAAGACCAGTTTTTTTGGTTAAAGCCTCACATTTCTGTTCCTTTGGGTGATGGTACATTGAAGAAAGAATCGGTGCCTTTCTCAGGACCTGAATGACAGAGAGAAAGAACTCATGTCTTTTGAGAGGGTCCAAGTGTTTGGGTGGCGGGGCTGCTTGGATTGGAAGTGACGTTAAAGGGCTCTTTGACAAACAGCTGCTTGGTGTAGAGATCGTGTATTTTAAACATTCATTCATTCATTCATTTATTCAACCAGCATTTATGAAACATTCACTATATGTGGTTCTGTGCTAGATGTGAAGGACATAATACCTAGTAACACCTAGAATCATGGTCTTGCCTTCCAGGTGCTTGCAGTCTGGCAATGTGAAGAGAGACAGAGGTTATTCTACTGTAGTGGAGCCATTTTTGTCCTCTCTTTTTCATCTAGAAGATGAGGGGGAATAAATCCAGGTTGGTTAACATGGTTTATTAAACAAGTGGTATCCATGACAGGTACCCATGATAGGTAGCCATCTTTGTTGACCGACTGCTTCCTTTTTCCAGGGGCCCACCTTCCCTCCCAATGACCCCAATTGCTCTTTGAAGCCACACCTTCTGTCTGCAAACCAATAGGATAAAATGGGGATGGAGGCGGAGAGCAAGCTGATCACTTGTACTGTCTGACTTTGTAACCAGCTTGACATGAATGGCTTGACATGGCTTTACTGTTAGAGTGGGGAAACCGTTCTTTCCTTTCTGTAAGGAGGAGAAGCCAGGAGTTTATTTAATCTTTTCTAGGCAACTTATTTTATTGCATTTTTAATTTCCTCTCTTGCATTAACATGACCCTTTTCACTGGCTTCCCACGCCTAGTGCTTAATTACTTATCATTAGCAATGTACACGGGGGCCTTACTGCATATTTATAAATGTGATCATTAGTACATGGAAAGACAAAGGCTTCTTTAAGACTGTCATTAGTTATTCTGTTTTCATGGAAATGTTCATTAGGAGAAACTACCCACCTGGTTAAATAATTATAATTAAGAATTGGTAATCTCCTTTGCATTTTTAACTTGATCTTCTGTCTGTTTGTATGAAGTTAAACAAGCCTTATTTGGCCAGTAGTCTATCTTTCATTTTCACAAGAATTGTCAACAAATACAGACTCTTTGTTTTCAACCTATAGGTGGTGACTGATTTGCAGCATGATAGATGTAATTTGTGTCATGCAGCAGTTATCTCCAAACCCATTAACCAGCTGTGGAATGGTGAGTCAGTGAATGGAGGTAAAGATCTCTAGTTGATTTTATTTTCTGGACTTTGTCAGTGGTGCAAATGGAACTGCAGGCTTCTAACCAAATTTAGCAAAGGATCTCCTTTAACTCCTCAGACACAAAGACACCAGGCTGGGTGACCACTGTTCCTTTGGGCATGTCAGGCCAGGCAAGACAAGTGGCAGTTGGATGGTGTGAGTGTTTGTGTGTCAGCATCTGACTCTTTACATATTTTTGACTAGGGGTAACCACAGTGGTGCTAGGGCTGTGGCCCTGCCAGGGCTATGACAAAGAGTCCATGAGGAGTCTTCCAATTGCTAGCAAATGGCTATGAGGCCCATACATGGTTACGTGTCAGCTGAGCTGAAACAAATGAGGTGACAGAAACACAAGAAAGGAAGTTTGGTCATGCTGCTGCCCATTCTCCTCTGCCCAGACTGGTCCTCGGTGAGCTGCCACCCTGGACTGATGAGAATATGCCAGTGATAAACCACAACTGTGGGAAATGCTGGGTGGGGGCATACATATCATCTGTAAACAATTAGGCAGCCACTGCTCATTCAGTGCCGTTTTGAGAAGCTAAGGAAGTCTGCAATCAGTTATATCTCCAATTACCATAAAAATATATTAGCCATTCATTCATTTATTAATGATTCATCAGTTAACCACACATAATGAGCAAATAATTAGCAGTGCTGTACGGTTGCCAAAATTGAAGAAGTGTTGGCATTTTAAAGATGAAAGGTTGCATTTATGCAAAAGTCTGGTGATGATAAAGTTAATATGGAAGATAATTATAAAAGTGGCTGTCCTCTATTACAGGCTGAGGTACCACAAAACTTGCCTAATTGAACTGAAATTAATATTCTTCTAAAGTCTGCGTGTTGCCACACACAAACTGCTGAATTTCTCTTGAAGATCTCCCTTCAGTAAGGTGCACAGCACAATACAAGTTAATAAAATGCCAGACAGCTAGACTGTGTTCTTTGTTTGCTTGGTTCAGGGCCTCGTGGAAAACAATAAATTGCATTCATGTCAGCTGAGGCCCATCCCTTTGCTAATTACCGTTTGGTGCTGAAATGACTTCTGTGAAATTGGGAGCATGAGGAAACATACAGCCATACAAGGGAGGCTTTTCAGAGTTTTGCAGTAAATGTGAGATAGGCCTCAGGCACACAGATGTTAAAACAGTGAATTCCCCCACAGATTACACTAATGGAAACCCTGTCAGGGTAAGTCAAATCCGGGTCTGTGGTCAAAATCTAATTAAGGTTTCTGTACTTAAAAAGAATATGAATGCCTGAGGGTGGCGATGAATGTATAAGAAACTCACTTGTTTGTAAAATTGTTAGCATGAATAGTAAGTACCATGGGGCTGTTACCTAGGATGTAACACCTGTTTTTTGAGTCACTCTCTGCTTTGCTGAATGCATGGGGACGGGTTATGTCAGAGGTCAGTGAACTCAGCTCAGGCCACAGTGGCCTTCCATCTTTGGGGCCTGGTACAAGGCCTGGTTTGAGGTCATGGATGAAAACGGATCCTTAGAAGTCGCCCTGGAATCCCAGAGGGTGCTTTGCTTTGCCACATGAAAACCACCCCAGATGATCCTGCCCAACTGCCTGGCGCCACTGAGGAAATAGTTCTTGCTAAGGGTGTGGGGCCGACCAGATCTCCCTCGTGGGGAAACAAAGGGTCGTCTGCTCACACGGCGCACCCTCAGCCTGTCGGGACTGCCTCCCCGAACAGCTGCAGCGTGCAGGCGCGGCCCTGCTTCTAATAGAGGAAATGAATTTATAATGCTGCAGTCTCTTCGTTTTCACCACGCACAAATTTCCCCTTAAATACTTAAAAACAACACCCAGAGCTGGATATACCTTAAATTTCGAATAAATGAAATCTTAATCCAGTCTGTTGCTGAGTCTGAGTTGTTATTAAAGAAATAAATTTAAAACAGCAAGTGGTTTGAGAATTTTTGAATTTAATTATTTAAATCTACTTAGGGTAACTCTCATGCGCTATTTCAGTTTCCCATTGAGAACATGAATTCTGGGAAAGGTATCCCATGCAGGGCCCTGGAAATATTAACTTTCACATACAACTGTGGGCTCAGCCATAGACAGACTCTGCCACCCTCCTCCCCCGAAAAGCAGAGGAATGAAACTCTGAGATTCTTTTTTACCCTGTTAATCTCAGCCAAGTGCTACAGGACATTATTTTTCAAAGAAGAGGGAAAGCGGTCTTCTGTCGATGATTGCAGCCCCCTTCAGATGCACTGTTTACGTTTAATCATCTGAAGCTCTTTAGAGAACAGTAGGTTTATACAACCTTTCACTAAGCAAAGTTAGGGAGCAAAGGTAATGATAACATGTATAATTAAAATGGCCAGCAACTTAATTAGGGTGTATTCTGGCCAGGTGTGTGTTTAGGGTCTGATTTTTGACACTTGTGAAAATGGACCTTCTACAGAGATTGTCCCAAGGGTGATAGATTGAGGACTGGGGTGGCACATTTGGACATTTTAGTACCACTTTGCTCCTCAGGCTTGGAGGGATTCTGCTTTCATGGTTAGGGCCAGGTGCCACCCCTGCCTTAGTCCTGAGAGCAAAGGATACCTCCCAGATATTAGCAATATAGCTTTGTAATGGCATCCATATTGGGATGTGGGAGGGAGAGAAGGAGCAAGATTCGGGCACAGATTCGTGACTTTATCTCTTTCTTCAGTTCACTAGGATTTTGGTCTGGCATACGATAGGTTTGTTTTGGACCCTGTGAGAAAGGGTTAAATTACTAGATACCTGCGAAGAAGCTCGCTGGAGTGTGGTCTCACCCACACAGTGAGACCCTGAGGCCTGAGTCAGAGAGAAGCCTAGAGTCCAATTTATTCCTATTTTCTGTTGGCCATTTGATAGCAATCAGGGCCTCGTTATAATCAGAACTGCCAAATGGAACTTTCCCACACCCAACCCAGACTAACAGGAGAATATTGACTTGGAGTGATTTCTAGATCCAGAATTCTATTTTTCCACTCAATATAAAAATCTTCATTGAAGCCAGAATCTTTAAGAAAAAAGCAAATCTTAGTGTGGGGCCCAGGCTTAGCTTTGACTTGGTCTCCAATAAATGCAAAAGGCTATAGAAATTGCATAATTCACAGTGTTCAGAGGATGTGTGAATGCTTTACAATCTAAAAGGTCAGACAGATGAGAACTAGATGGGGGTTTTCTACAGGAAGTGAGATCCAGTGGTGAGCAAAGGGTCAGAAGTCAAGAGTTTCTGGGTTTATGTTTCTTAATAGCTGTAGCGTAGACTTACAGGTAAATCTGGGTATTTAATTTTTAAAATGTGCACACATTTATGGAAGAAATCCTCTTTTCCAGGTGCAGCGCTGAGCCCTAGGACTTCAGAGAGGAGAAGTCATGATTCCTACCCTTGGAAGGCTCTCATTTCTGCGGGGGGGGACAGGGTTAGACACTCAAACCGCATGAATCCAACTCCATGTAGCTAAATTTCTGCATCGCTATAATGTTTAGCACATTGGCGCCCAATAGATGTTTGTGGGATGAATAGATCTGTTAAAAGGGGAGTGTCATGTTTCTTGTCTTATTATTGTGTGAGTTAGAGAGTTAATATTTATAACTCATTTTATGCCCCTACATGCTATGTAAGTACAAATTATTAAATATCATCATAATAAACTAGGGTCCTAAACAGCCAATTACATTTTCTTATGAAGTTGGTGACATTTAGCTTTTTTTGTTGGGCAGATTGTATCATATTGCACCTGTTGGAAAAGTAGGCATTTTGGGAAGGGCCATTAATTCAGAACTGTTTATAATATAGCATAACACTGCGCTTCTTAATATGGGCATTTGTATTATTTCCCAAGGAAGTAACACAGCTGACTTAGCCCTAAATTATAATAAAAATTATTATTAATAATAATACTTCTGCAACAATCTAACTCTTTGAATTGGAGCTCCTGAAATTAGAAGATCATCATCTCTTAAAGTTCTATGCTATACTTCCTTTCTGGTTTTCTTTTTCATTCCAGTTTGTTCTCCTCTCTCCTAGATATGTCTCTCTAACTTTGTGTCTGTTTCTCCTTGACCCTCTGTCTTCCCTGTCTCCATCCTTTCCCCCTTCCACTCCTGCCAACACATTTTATTCTTCAGGGGTGCCCCTCACACCACTTCTGAGCCCAACTGTACAATGGTCGTTTGGGGTCTCCAGAACAGCTGTTTCTACTTGGGTTTCTAAGCTTCTATAACTCGCCCCTCTCCTAGTCTACTTCCGGGCAGGAAGCACTGTAGCAATCAGAATGGCTTCCTCCTCACCCTGCAAATGCCATGCTTGTTTCTTGGGCCTAGGTTCTTGTTACTGTCCTACCTGGAAGTTGTCTTCTCTTGTTGCACCTTTCTAAAATAAACTCCATGTATCTATCGATCAACTCCTCTTTGAAACTGCCCTTCTTTGTTTCCTGATCTTCACCTCTTCTAAGCTTCTGATGCCCACAATTTGGCAACTCTTTCTGTTGTATCCTATAGTTTAGTTTTAGCTCCTCACATAATCTCTAAATTTCCTATAGCTACAAGAAGCTACAGGGCTTATTGTGTACCAGGCTCTGTGTGAAGGTGCTTCACATTATTTCATTTATTCTTCAGGAGAACCCTATGAGGTTGGCATTAGTGTTATTTCTACATTACAGATCAGGCAACTAAGGCCCAGACATCATGACTAACTTCCCCAAGGTCATACAGTTAACAAGAGGTAGAGCTGGGTTCTGTAGTAGTCAGTATGCTGTACCACCCAGATCCCCTTAGGATTGAAGGACTTAATCCTCCAGCTGCTCACAGTGCTGCTGGCTGATAACTCTCAGCTGTCAGCTCTCTCTGCTAATTGCCTTTGCTTAAGTGAGCCTCTTCACCCAATGTCACACCCTTTTGCTGGGGCAGCCTGCATCCAGACTGGTTTGCAGGGGCATCAAGTTCTGTCTACTTCACCCCAGCCTGGGACAACTTCTAAGTGCAAGCCAGCGTCAGAGCTCTCCGTGAGGCTGACTCAGGCCTTTGTCATGACCACCTCATAGCCCAACTTCTCCCTTGGCCCAACCCTTTTTTCTTCCCTTTGCTTTTCCTCTACAAATGGTGATTCCTAGGAGATGCACTAATAAACTTCCTGTACATAAACTTCTTTGATTCAAAGTATGAGTCTCAGAGAACCCAACCTAAACAGTTGGTACCAGGGATGGTCTGAGAAAGGTGATGCTAAAAAGGGATTCTAGAGCTTGATCGCCTGCTTGCCACTCATAACAAGGACCCTATCTCTAGGGGTAGACAGAGCAATGACAGATCCTGGCAAAGGTAGCAGTGGTGAACTGGGACTGTGTGCTGGTGGAAGGGAATGCACTGGTGGGTGAAAGTGTCAGGCATTTGAGAAATATGGGGAAATAGTAATTATAAGAACAATGGCATTGGATGACTATTGCTGAGGGCAATTAATGCTTTGGAGAAAAAAAAGGGTAATTAACTAGCAATTAAAGGCTTGGTGTGAAAGCCAGAAAGCCTCACTGATTGGCTATAATGTGAGCCTCATTTCTTCTAGTTAGAGGAAATTGAAGATCAGAGCTAGAACTTAATCATAAGATTAGTGGAGTTTCAGGGAAAGTTGAACGCTCATACGAGGTAGGTGTGCCATGCTAGCCGGGGTTCTGATTGGGAAAGAGCAGGACCTTAAGATAAGAGATGGTGACATCTGAGCTGATGCACTTAAACATTTTGAGTCTCCGGGTTCCTCTAAACCCTCTGAGCCTGCAGAATTGGCCCCTTTCCCTCTGTTAAAGACTAGCACTACTTCTCTCGTGCCTGAAGAAGATGCAGAGGCCTCTGCCTTGCAAGACAAATGTGTTCCCCTCCCTTCAAGGTCTGCCCTTATGTCCCTTCTCTTGGCAGCCAGACTAATAAATAGGATTAAATCACAACACTGCCTAGCTGCGGAAGTGCTGGGCCTGCTAGGGTAGGAAAGGTACTATACCTCAAAGGAACTACAGGATCTTGCCAACAAGTATTAGCAGGATCTGGGACATTATTTCAGAGACTGGATTCTGTGAGTACACTGGATCAATTTGGGTGGAACATAATATTAGATAAGGGAGAATTTCCTATAGGGGAGCACCCTCCTAGGATACAGGACATCCGACAATCATCCTGGGATGCCACTAATATTCTGCTAGGATGGCTCTTGGAAACCTGGAGAAAGTAATAGTCCACATAAAATGAAGTAGAAATGACTCACCATAAGAGTTGGTAGGAGAAAGAATGAACGTCTCAGAGAAATGGCCATGACACAGTGGAAATCACACATAAGGTTGGAAATCCCACCAAATGACTATTTTCAGTAGGAAGGCCCAGAGGATAGACTACATATTTTGAAAAGCATTTCTGGTATGCTCTGATACTCTGCCTATTAGTCGTCAAATGATTTTGAGGCTGGAACTGTCCATCATGGACTGCTTTCTGTCAGACCCAACAAGTCATAAGGTTGAATGGGTGAGCCCAGAAGCAATCCATTGCAAGATGGAAGGGGTGCACTCAGGATTGGACATGAAGAGGGCCAGAGGGCACGAGTAGACTGCCTGATCACACCCCATGTCATCACCCACCACCATTGCACTGCCTCTTCCTCAGCGTACACTTGTGACCGCATTGGGTTCCTTATGACCAGTTAATGGAGAATGTAAAAGGCTGAGCTTGGTTCATGAATATGTTGGCTTGGCATGTGGCTGAAATCCCAAAATGGTCTGGCACGGCACTAAAGCTACACTCTGGGGTGGCTCTGAAGTCACCGATTAGTGGAAATATTCCCAGTGAGCATAGCTTCAAATGGCATACCTGCTCATCGACTTTGTGAGGAAAGAGAATATAGATAAACTCATGGTCAATGGCAAATGGATTGGCTGACTGGTCAGGCACCAGAGGAAGAAGGTTGAAAGACAAAGAGGTCAGGGGAAGAGACATGCCTGTGGGGATGGGCATACCGTGTGAAGATCTTCATATCACAGGTTACCATCCACCAAAAAGCATCCAACACAGAAGAGGCATTAAACAAACAACAAGATAGAACGATTAGGCCAGTTCATATCAGCCAGCCACTCTCATCGATCAGCTGGCACAATGGGTGCATAAACGGAGAAGCCATGTGATGGAGTCAGAGGCTATTTTTAGGTCCAAAGCATGGCTCCCACTCGCCAAAGTAAAATAGCTATTGCTGCTGCCAAATGTCCAAGCTGTCAGCAATAGGGACTAGTCCCCAATATGGCATTACCCTTTGAGATCACCAGCCAGCCACCTGTGGCAAGTTAGCTACATTGCTAGAAGGGACAGAAATTTATTTTAACTTGAAAAAATGATATTCCAGGGTTTGCCTTTCCTGCCTGCAGATCCTCAGCTTGCACCACCACGTGCAGCTGAGGACTTAGAGTATCTGACCCGTTGACAGGGATCCCACATCACATCATGTCACACAAAGGGACCCACTTTATGTCAAGGGAGGTGCAGCAGAGGGCACATGGCAATGGGATATCCTATTCTATCTCAATTAGTACTACCTAGAAGAAACTGGTCTGCTAGAGTGATGGAATGTTCTTGGTACAAGGAATAAGAAAATAACCACGAGAAATAAGACATAGCTCTTGCCCTCACAGTTGAGTGGAAGAAAATATACTTGACCAAACTCTTATAAACACTATGGCAAATGGAGTGGTAGAGATGAACAGAGAGGAAAAGTGCCTTATCCAATCTGGTGGTCAGAGAGAAAGGACAGTGACACAAGGTTTCCAGGGGGAGTTGATGCCTGAGCTTAGTCTTGTAGAGTAAGAAAAAGAAGATCAGAAGAATATTCCAGGCAGAGCAAAGGTACCAGGTGAAAAATAGTATGGCTGGATTTGCTGGAGCATAGAGGACAAGGTCAGGGAAAGCAGGGTTCAGAAAATGAAGGCTCTTACATTCCATGCTACAGAGAATCAGCTTTCTCCTGTGGATGATGTGGGAGCCATTGATGGGCTTTCAGTGGGGGAATAGGGTTCTAATGCATCCTTCAATCTTTTTTCTTCTGTCTCCTGCTTGAAGCTCCCTCTCTTTGTTCTCTGAAATGCAGCTGCTGGAGTGCCTTCTGGTCACATATATGATACCTTACAAAAGCATTTTACACCACAGCAGATCTCAGTTCTGGCAGATATTAGCAAGCCTGCCTGCTGAAGAGACATCCTTGAGATCGCTCCCTGTTGGTAGGGTCTGTTGCATTGGAGTTGCTGATGCTTTTTAAGCAGCTAAAAATTACCTCTTTTCCCCCAAATTATTTAAAACAGCAATTCCCAAAGGCACAGCAAGGGAAGTTGATGATAATTGTGGACCCAGAACTCCAGGAAAACATTGGACCTTTGAGGTAGCCATCCAGAAGCTCCTGCACATTGTTGGTGCTTGGAAAACCCCTTTGGTGCAGGCTACTTTGCCAAGTCAGTGAAACTCACTGATCATCATTCTGAAGACAGGCAGCCCGCAAGAGATTACCACCCAATCCTTGGCATAAAACCCAAGATCTCAGCATCCCAAGGAAGCTTAAAGAAGGGGGTAAACTCTAATGATCAGACAATATCATTTCTGGTGATGAACTGATAGACAAAGAAGGGAAAAAAAGTCTAGAAGGACCACCGTGTATTAGAAAACAAGGAGACATTTGAACTACTTTGACAACAAGCGCCTGTCCAAGTTAAAAGTCAACACTGTATTCCACATAGAATCCAGTGTTCTATGTAGATGAACTCAAATATGAGCTAGAGGTCACCTTGAGATTCTTTGTTGTTTTATTCACTAATAAACATACAGAACACAAAATGATGATTTGGAAAAATAAGCAATCAGATTAAGAACTATAGCCAGTCTACAGGTCCAGAAACCCTGCTTATTTGCAGAAGTGTGGTATTGAAAAATTATGTCACCAGAAAGTCCCACTTGGGCCAGCTGTTCCAAATTAGGAATCCATAAAAACCTCTAAGAACTGAACAGTTTATATCCTGGGTCAGCACTTGGTCTTCCCTCATTTCCTATCTAGCTCACGTAGATCTAATGCCAAACTTGTTCCAACATAGCCCAAGGTGTCAACCTACATACTACACACAGAGAGAGCCTCTGAGTCTGTCTGTGATAGGCTGCTACTGAAAATCAAGTTGGAACTCAGGCATTATAATTGAGAGATACAGGGTACCCTTTAGAAATTAGATAAAAGTTTAATATGGCTAAGATTGTATGAGAAAACAACAAAAGGTGAGTGTTAGGACCCAAACTGTGGAACCATCCGTTTGTATCTTCTTGTGAGCCAAACACCTGGTATAAATTGAATGTGGGAGAAGCTTTAGTAAGTGGTTTCTTTTTAACCTATTAAAACCATTGTTAAATTTAACTCAAATGTTGTAGATCTGCATAAAAGTGGTCAGATTTCTAAATGGTTTGAAGAACTGAGAGTTGAAAGTCCTCTAGGGGTCTCTAGGTTTCTAACCACATCCCCATCCCCTTCTTCATCCAATTGCTGCTCTCTTCCCTGCAGAATCCCCTTTCAGTCCCTAGTAAATTGGATTCTTTAAGCCTAGTATAATTTCCATCCTGTTTCCATTAGAGGCCAGGTGGCTCTCACAGTGATTCACTTGGTTGCCCTGCCCAGAAGGGACTGAAGTACAGATATCAGCTGCCATTAATTCTGGGTGAGCTGGACTGAAAGTGACAGAAATGGGTTCCTAAACGACATTAGAATAAAAGAAGCATGCCTTCTTGGTGGAGAGGACAGTTTAAACAAAGTGATAACATTGGACCCAGGTAGACTTTTTAGCCCAAAACCTGATGGATCAGTTTCATCCACTTCTGAGTTATAGAAAAGGAGGTTGAGGGAAGGAATTTCCAGCCCCAGCTCTGCTACCAAGTTTAGGACCTTGGTTTCCGTACCTGAAGCATGGTAGGATGGTGCAATGATCTCTGAGTTTCCTTCCACCTTGAAAATTTCATGACAAACAATCACATATGGCCACCCTAGATGGCAATATTGCTACTGTATTTTTTCTTTAAACAGATTCTCAAATCCATTCAATATGAAGTAGATTAGTAAAGGGAACCAGAAACTCTGAAGAGGCCACCCTCATACACAGGGAATTTACTGACTTGCCCTGTGTATTTGTGTTTATTTCTGCTGATTCCTAGGTGAAGGTGGATTCTAGGGAAGTAACATTTATATGAATCCAAATGGAGGGACAAGTTTTCTCCCGCATCTCCCCTTCCCAAACAATCCAGCTTAGTTCATCATCTTGTGTTGACATTACTTATGAATGCTAATGAGCTCATAAATGCTAATTAATAACTCCATGTGCTTCTATTTACTGGCAAATATAGGGATCCAGGTGCAGTGTAGACCTGGCCCCAAACACAGTACCTCTCTCTATCTCTGAGCCGAGAACATGGGTGGGATGACTCTCGCAGTCCTGCCAAAGTCAGGGGCCTTCCACGCCTTTCAATATGTGCAGAAGCTATAATGAACTCTAACAAGAATATTATCTTCTGATTTCCCACTGAGAAAAGAAACTAGGGTAAAATCCAGCACATAGCAAGGTTAGGTTGGACTCCAAAACTTTGGGGAGAAGTCAAAGTGAAGTGGTGGTCAGGGAATCCTCCCCAGCCTGACCTAGAGGTGTTGTCAGAGTGGGGCAGGCAACTCAAAGAGGTGGTGTGGAGGTCTCCGCATGGCTAGACAGAAAGAAGGTTAATGGGACTTTGAGGAGCGTAGCAAGCCAGCGCTTTTGTTCTCTTACTGGTGTAGCTGCCTCTGTCTCCTCCATTGGGCTGGAGCCCTGTCAAGCCAGGAGCTTAGCCTGCCAGAAGTCAGGCCCCCCTAGATGTGTGCTGCTTTGACACTGCTGATTGAACTTGTGCTCCTCTTTGGGAGATTCTGAACTTTCCTCAGCAAACAAGATGAGGCCTGAGCTTGGTTCTAATGACCACATTACTTTGAACTTATCAAACCCTTAACTATGCACCAGGTTTTAGCATTGAATGCCTCATGACAATACCATTTATGATGGCCCCCATTTGAGCATTTGGTAAACTGAGGCAGAAGGGTTATGGAACTTCGCCAAGTTCACACAGCTAGCAAGTAGCAGAACTGGGAGTTGAACGTGGCTGCCACCCTGAAAGAAGCCCCTCTCTAGAACTGCTGCCTGGGTGCAGCTCCCAGCTACTGCAGACTGTTGCTGGAGGCCGTTCCTGCTCATATGACTCTGTGATGTCAGGAGGCCTGCTCCCTCGGGGTCCTCCCTTCCCTGCCTTTTCAGGAGGAGTTTTCCTTCCAGCCTGGAGAGCTGTGACTGAGAGCCAGCTCCTCTGCCCAGCTGCGATTGCCTCTGAGCCCCAGAGCCCCTCCTGACTTGGAAATCACCCTTTCCCCCACTAGTGCTCTTCATTCTTCTCCCTTGTCTCCTCTCAAGGCCCAACTCCATGTTTTAGAAGCACTGGCCTGGCCCTGTTTTTCAAGTCACTGTAAAATCACTTTAGTTTCGCCCCCTCCAGGGCGCCCAGCTGAAGATGAACACTCACATCCTGGGTTATACCCAGGCTGGGGAAAAGGGCAAGCTATTGCTTTTGGATGAGGTTCCCAAGAGTGGAGGGACTTTTCTTTGTAAAGAAAAAGTAAAGCTTTATAAACCCTGTGCTCTTTTCAAAGAGGCCTTATGGGTGGCAAGGCATAGCCACCGTGGTAAGGAGGAAGCTAGAGAGGCAGAAAAAGAATTGCTAACTACATGCTGGTGCAACATGCTTTTTAAGGGTGGGGTATGGGAGACAGGAGAGGAGATGTCTCTCTGCCCCTATCTCCTTGGGTGCTGAGATGAACACACCCGGTGGTTGACACCTCTGTTGCTGCTCTCTAGGGCAGTCTGCCTCCCTCCATCCCCCCCGCTGCTCCTTGCACTGGGTGGTGCTGGCGGAGAAGGGGCCCAGGGCTGTGTCTGCCAGCCCCAAATGCCAGCAGCTGCACAATCCTGGGATAATTGCTCATATCTGTTTCTTCTCTTTTCCAGGCCTCGGAGAGTGTTCCAGGAACGAACTTTCCGCAGTATGATGACCTGCAAAAGCAGCCCTTCCATTTACATTTCAAACTCCAAGTCAGCCGTGTCAAAGTTTGAACCAGGGCTGTGGAGGATAATGGGTCAAATGCAATTAGTAGCCCGGAGAGCTGCGCGTTGCAGTCTGATTTATTTTTTTGCCCATCAGATTCCAAGAATCCTAGTGCTTAAAAGCAACTAAACAATCACTCTATTGTTCTGAAATAAAGCCCAGTTAATTCAAAAATCAATTGCACCACCAGGTGGGGCACACTCTGGCCCCAAACAGATGGGGTCGAAAACTCCCCCAAAATTCAGTCTTGTTAAATTAAAAACTTGATCCAGGAGTGGAACAAATAAGGAGCCATGAATGGAATGGAGTCAGGTCCACTCAGGCGAATTCTTTCTTCTCCCACTCCTTTTCCTTCCTTTAAAAAAGAAAAAATCACCATTCCACTTTCATCAGTGTTAGCATCTCCACAGAAATGCAGCCATCCACCCTGTTCAGTTCAATGTGTTACTTTAATTAGTCTGAAAATTAAAGGGCAACTCTGGGCCAATGTGAATGATTATGAAAATACATGTGCATCCTATGCAATCCTCTCATTTAATTAATAGTCTTGTAAACTATATGGCTCACTTTAAGGCGGTCTTGAGGTATAACAAGTCCATTTAAATATCCACTTAATACTTAACAGGATGTGAGGGACACACTACAGCATACGGTCCCTTCTCAAGTTTCACTGTCTGAAATTTTTCAAAGCTGACCCAAGTCAACCCGAAAAATGTTTAACACCCTGGGCTTGAACACAAGAAACTCTGTGATGAACAGACATTCAATTACATTTTTTTAAAAGTGAGAAGCATTTTTGTAAAATAGCGACTCTGGAAACTAATTGGCAGCCGCGAAACTTGTGAGCGAAGGCCAAATCTTGTGGGGAACTTTTACTACAGTAACACGACTCAAAGAAAATGGGAATAAAAGGCGTCTTTGTTTCCCACTCAAATTAGCTGATTAAAAAATAAAACATCTTAACATGTTTAAAAATGTAGAATTAATTATTTATATGAAAAAAAAATTAAAGTCAGGTTATATGAATTCTACTCTGTGTGCGACTTGAATGGGGCAGAACCGGCAATCGTTGTGGGTCTGTGTCCTAGGTCATTAAGCAAAACTAAATATTAAGAGCTCTGGTGATTGAAAAAAAAAATTGCATTCAGGTCACATGGTGTGCTTCCCATTTTGATTTTCAAAGTCCAGATTAGTTATGGTACACATGAAAAATGTGATTCAGAATGAGAAAACTGCTTTGTATCGGCTGAGCACGGACAGCGGAGTGGAAGAAGAAAACAGCCACACAAAGAGCAAAGCCAACTCCCCGGAGAACACAGGCCTTTTGCTCTAAGGAACCCAGGGAAGGATTCACAGAGAGAATGTGAACAGGCCACTCTTTATGTGGCTAATGGGTAAGTTTGGAACTCAGGAAAACAAGAAAACCTAAGTTACTCGTTAGACTCGGAAAAGAAGTAGACGGATGACCTTTGACATCTCAGGCCCCCTTGTCTCAGCTCAAGACCTTCGGCCCTGACCTCTTAACATTCCAATATCCTGAAGCCAAGCCCTGCCTGAGCCAGGGCTGCAAATTATCTTTGAGATGTGGATACACATCTACCAGGTCAGTGTTTTTCAAGGTGTGGCCTAAGGACCACCTGCATCAGGATTACCTGGAGAGCTGTCAAAAATATAGACTCCTGGGCCCTGGGAACTATTGGGCCAGATGAGGCTGGGGTCCAGGACTCGGCATTTTGAACACATTGCCCAGACTCTACAAGGATAGTAAACTTTGAGAATCTCTGTACCAGTGTCTGGCTTAGAGACAAATAGAGTAAATTTCACTAAATTTCTTTAATGGGTTCCCCTTAGTGAAAGACATTTATTAAAATGTGAAAGCCTGTGTACAAATCCTTCGCTAAAGGAAAAAAAGTCCTCCAGCCATTTTCTTCATTTCTCATGGCATCCCTTCACAGAAGGAGGATAGGAATGCTTTGTCCTTTAAAATAAGTTCAGCGAGTACTTGAAAAGTCATTTGGCAGGAGATGAAGGATGAGACAAAGGGGGAAGATTAATGACGAACAGAATCAGAGTCCTTGCTAAAATAAAAATGGATTCACACCCAACTTCTTATGAAGGGTAAGACATATGGCAGCTCATGTGGGAAGCGAGCATGTTTAGTAGAGAGAGGTCCTGCTGCGGAGCTGTGTGATATAGGGTACAGCTTTCCCAGCCAAAAACAGAACATCACATGCTCTGGAGAGATGTACCATCTCTCCGATGTGACGAGACGCTGACTTTCTAAAACTTGTGCTAACTCTGCCTGAATGGCTTTAATATATTTAATACATTTCTCGTAGTCAGGATGGTCAGGTTTAGGGATTTGGATCTTGGTTTTGTTCTTATCTTCAGGGTGGCCTGCCAGCCAATCATATTCTGTGACTGTTTATGGAAGCTGCTGATAGTTTAAGGTTCCTCATTTGCGAAATGGAAGCCACAATCCTCTATCATTTCTGAAAATTGAGGAGAAAAGTACTGGCCACAAGAAATTGTGCCTTGAGTTTTAGCTACAAACTATGGATGAATGCATTCTTCAGTATCCTCTTTTGGTGCTTTTTAGGATTTTCACCAGGAAACGCCAAGATGCACATGGAAGCTCTTTTGTTTTGTTCTTAGGATTGGAAAGAAGGCATTCATTTGTACTTAGTCATGCTATGCACGAACCTTACAGTAGCAAGTGTCCAATAGACTCAGGGTTCTACTGCTAGGATTCATTCAAAGTTATAAACATATAGATATACAAAGGATATTTACAAATGTGGCTCTTATTATGCTTACAGTAGCAGTGACAAGAGTTCAGTTTTAGTCCATGGAAAATCGCTGCTTAATAAGAACTTTCCCAAACCCATGTCCCCTTTGAGATAGAAATTTCCACACTAAGTTTCATCGCCCTACTAGAATTTCCTTTGGAATGTTTGTGCTAAATTCCTTTCTCCCTGATTGAAGTATACAACAGAAAACCTAGCTTCAAGACTTAAAAAAAGTAGCGCACCGAAATGCACCGAAATGTAGGAAAACTTGGGGGAGGCAGTGGGCAATGGGGGGAGGCAGAGGAGAGTTGGGGAAATGAATTAAACTCCCCAATAATTAAGAAGTGATTTACTTGGCACATTCGGAATTTGGAATGCTTGAACAGTAGGGCAGTGTATAACTTTGTTATGTGCCACGGGCAACCCCAGCAACTCAGTTTTGCTTCGTGAAGCTTTTTTTTCCTTTTTCTTTTTTTGGTATTTCCTGAGTCGGTACGTGCAGTTGTGAACTTAATTAACACACTAGTGATTCTGCACCCTCAGGGAAAAATGGTAAATTTTGTAAAATGTAAATACAGAAAAAAAAAGAGAAGGTTTCTTTCCTTCCTGTTCTTAGCAGTCTTTATTCCCTTGCTTGTATTATGCGTCAGGAAAACATGAAAGCCACACGAAGCATTACAGAGCCCAAGACTCGGACCCCACTAAGGCACAAACCCAGGGATTCCTCTAAATCACTCTTGTGTCCTATAGACCCTCCTAACTGCTCTTGTGCAAGAGAAAACAGGGTTAATAGGTAGCAAAAGTTAGCCCTTTCGATGATAGCATTACGTCTACATGCCTTCGTGTATTATATTGATCTCATTTAGAAGTAACTTGTACAATTCCCCTTTGAATCAAGCCCTATAAATTTGATCAATATCATTATTTTCATGAGACAAGTTTAAACCAATAAAGTTGTCTAGCTTCATCCCTCTTTTCTCTCCCACCCACCCTCTTAAAAAAAAACCAGGGAGAGTCACAACTTTGGCGTGTAGCTTGAGTGTGAAGCTCTGGGATGAAAAAGTCTATGAAAAGATGACATTTATAGATGGGTACATATATATTTAATTTCTTGTGTGTGTGTGTGTGTGTGTGTGTATATATATATATATATATATATATATATATATATATATATATTTCTGCTTCTGTTCACCGAGGATGCGACATCATAATTAAGGACATTTTACTTTATCCAGTGAACAGTTTTTTTCAGTTCTCTTTAATTGGTAATTTAATTACAGAGCTAATTAGGAACCAAGTGGGTGTTGGGATTACCATGATTGTCTTTAACTGGAAATTCTTACCACTTACAAAGCAAGGAAGTTTTTAAATGATGGAACACTTAAATAACAGATTAATAAGCCAGTAAATACAACTGTATGAAGGTAGGTCATTCACATGCCCTTGCCCTTTAATTGGCAAAATTGAGGAGTCTGATCTATTCCACTAAGTAATTATCACTCTGTCTTTCTCACCTCCTGTGGGGTCCATACTGAGGCCCCAAGGAATTTATGGGGTGAAGTCCAGGGCTGGAATGCCCGGGCCAGAGTTTAGGTAGAAGATGGAGCAGCTGGAAGGTGTTTGGGAGGAAGTATGCTCTGATACTTAGAGCAAAGGGGAATTCTATTACTAGCCTCTGCCACGTATGGGTGGAGAAAAACAAAAGAAGAGTTTCTGTCTCTGCCTCAGTTTCTCTACACCTCTGCCCTCTGCAGCTGACACCTTTGCCCCAGGGTGACAGAGTAGCCTTTGGAGGTGATTGAAGGATGGCCTCGCATGGGTGCCTCTAGCACACGCTGAGTGGCCCTTTGGGCCTTTGGTTCACTCAACAGAGAGGGCTGCAGCTGGGTGAGCAAATCCATCTTCTGTCTGCCCCACCCCTGAAATGAATACCCTCCGAGGGCTGAGCTTGGCCTGGGTGCGGGGTGGGGGTGAAGGAACTAATAATTGAACTGGAGCACAGCCCCTGTATTTTGAGAACACTTGTGACTGACCTATTTAGGAGAACATTTGTTCATTCATCAAACATTTAGGAGTGTGGGGGGCTACATGTGCAAGACACTCAAAACCGCCCCCCAAAACACCAAATGTAAATACATTGTTTCTGAACACACACTGCAGAGAACTCTCTTGAGGACAGATTTCACAACTGCCTGAAAAAAGCCCAGGTCAGAATCCCACCTCCTGGGCCTCTTTCTTGAAAAGGTTTCATCAGCAAAGGTGGGGGACCCAGAAAGGTCAGCAGTGTAATGGAAAATGCTCAAGGCCATCCAGGTCCAAAGGATACATTTGGGGAACTACCAATTCTCAGTTCTCCTTGGTGACTGCAGGGAAAGGTGAGAGAGAGGCAAACAAAGAGATAACTGGGGCTAAGTGAAATCCACAGAAAATCCTCAGTCTTTGTTTCAGCCAATAGCCTCACTCAAGTTCATTCTCCCCCAAACCTTGGACCGTAATTACCATCTGTGAACTGAATCAACTTGAGCTTTGCTGGTTTCCTTCTGCTGCCCAGAGCATGGCCAAGAAAGGCCTCAGCAGGCCTGGTTGGGAAGAGGCACATTCAAACCAGCTGTGATCCCCACCCCCCAACAAAGAGTGGCTTGAAAATGGAGGTAAAAAAGAACAGTTAGCCAGCCTTCCCCCTGAACAAAGAGTTACTTGCTGAAGGAGTACTTATACCAGC